AGGGGGGGGCAAGGGGTGGTCTCTCACCGCGGCCCCTATGCGTGCCAGGGTCGGAGAGCGTGGCAGGCGTGGCACTTTCTCGACACCAGAGGGGGTGCGCAGGGGGTGGTCTCTCACCGCGGTCCCTATCCACGACACTGGCGCAAAGCCTAGCAGGCGTGCACTTTATCGACACCACAGGGGGTTGCGCAGGGGGTGGTTTCTCTCAGCTCGGCCGCTATCCACGACACTGGCGCAAAGCCTAGCAGATGTGGCACTTTCTCGACACCACAGGGGGTGGGCAGGGGGTGGTCTCTCAGCTCGGCCGCTATCCACGACACTGCCGCAAAACCTAGCAGGCGTGGCACTTTCTCGACACCACAGGGGGTGCGCAGGGGTTGGTCTCTCAGCTCGGCCGCCATTCACGACACTGGCGCAAAGCCTAGCAGGCGTGGCACTTTCTCGACACCAAACGGGGTGGGCAAGGGGTGGTCTCTCACCGCGGCCCCTATGCGTGCCAGGGTCGGAGAGCGTGACAGGCGTGGCACTTTCTCGAAACCAGAGGGGGTGCGCAGGGGGTGGTTTCCCTATGCGTGCCAGGGTCGTCCAGGCATTGCAGGCGTGGCATTTTCTCAACACCAGAGGGGGTGCGCAGGGGGTGGTCTCCCTATGCGTGCCAGGGTCGTCCAGGCATAGCCTCTAGTGCGGGATTGTGTATTACCTGTCGTATCCAAGTGCCAGGCGACGCCGGATATGACCGTCACAGATGACTCCTCAACCCCTCCTCTCCCCCCACACGTCCTCTCCCTCCTTTCAACGACCACAGGGGGTACCTGAGAGCATGACGGCGGTGGTAGTGGTAGCGCGGTTCACACAAGACATAAAATCAGTATGTGGGGTTCCTCGGTAGCGTAATTTAACAATTAAGGTTCAACAGGGACTCTTGGAACCCCCCCAGAGGCGATGCCGAAACGAGGGCCCCAGTCTTGAGTAAAAAAGTGGAAGACGGAAGGGGAAGGGAGGAGGGAGGAGGGAGGCAGCAGGAGGGAGGAGACAAGGGGGACGAAAAGGGAAAGGAGGGAGGAGCAAAGCGGGGCGGGAGAGAGAGGACGGAGGAGGGAGAAGAGGCGGGGGTGGAGGGAGGAAGAGGGAGGAAGAAAGAGAAAGAAGATGGGGGGGGGAAGGGAAAAAAAGAGAAAGAGGAGGAAGGGAGGAGGAGGGAGGAGAGGAGGAGGAAGGAGGAGGAGGAACAGGAGGAGGAACAGGAGAGGAACAGGGAGGAAACAGCGGGGAGGAGGAGAAGGAAGGAGGAGGAGGGAGGAGGAAAGGGAAAAGAGGAAAAAAAGGACGCCCACGAGGAGGAGGGAGAAAGGGAAGGAAAAGAGGAGGAGGGGAGGAGGGAGGAGGAAGGAGAGGTGGAAAAAGGAGGAGGAGGGGAAAAATGGAGGAGGAAGGGGGGGGGAGAAGGAAGAGGGAGGAAACAGGGACGGAGGAGGGAGGAGGGAAGAGTGAGAAGAGGAGGGGGTGGAGGAAGGAAGAGGGAGGATGAGGAGGGGGGGGAGGGGGGAGGGGCAAGCTAGGTGCGCTCGCGTCATATCTGACGTCCTACCCCTCCCTCCCATCCCTTACCATGGCGCTGATTTTCTCTATCCGCGGACGCGTGTCGTAGCGGACCTGTGGCTCCGCGCACGCGTGCGTAGTGGGTGGTGGTGCGCGTGCGTGCGTGCGTGCGTGTGTGCGTGGTTGTGGTGGTGGTGGTGGTGGTGGTGGTGGTGGTGGTGGTGGTGGTGGTGGTGGTGGTGGTGGTGGTGGTGGTGGTGATGGTGGTGGTGGTGGTGGTGGTGGTGATGGTGGTGGTGGTGGTGCTGGTGGTGCTGGTGGTGGTTGTGGTGGTGCGGCGCGGTGGTGGCGGGCGGATGGGCGCGCGAGAAAGAGGCCCGCGCTGGGGCGAGAACGCCATCCTGAACGACGGAGGCCAAACACCGATCCGAAAATGAGGCCCACGCTGCAGCGGGAGCACGATTCGGAACGATTCGGGAGCAGAAATGAGGCCGGCGCCTCAGCGAGAGCAGCATTGTGAAACAAACGCAGGCGAAAACCCGTTTCCCGGGAATTTGTGTGTAAAAAAACAGTACGCGGGGGGGGTCAGCCATCTTCGGGACGCCATCAGGGGAAGTGGGAGAGTATTTTCATATTGTGTAATTGTGGAGGGGGGAGGAGGAGGAGGAGGGGGGAGGAGGAGGAGGAGGAGGAGGAGGAGGAGGAGGAGGAGGAGGAGGAGGAGGAGGAGGAGGAGGAGGAGGAAGAGGACGAAAACGAGGACGAAGAGGAGGAGAAAACGGCGCCAGTCCAGCGTAAAACGGGAGGAAATCTCGGGCGGGAGCGCTTGTCTTGTCGGGACGGGGGTTGTCGGCGGCGAGCAAGAGCACCGCCTTGAGTACAAAAGGGAGGAAGTCTCGAGGAGCGTTGTTGCTGCTGGGGGGCGGCGCCGATGAGAGAAAGAGTATCGCTCCTGTCCAAGATAATACGGGAGCAAATCTCGAGCGGGAGCGCTGGTTTTGTTGAGACGGCTGCTTTCGGCGGCGAACAAGAGCACTGGCCCTGAATAAAGAAAAAGGAGCTCTCGAACGGGAGCGTTGTTGTTGTTGTCGGGGGGCCGGCGGTCCCCCAAACCGCTTGAGAGTGAGCTTCATTTACAATGAAAATGCAGCCAACGCCTTGGCGAGAGCGCTAGGGCGCCTGTAAGGAGTCCAACCATAATGTTTGTTTCGTAATTAACACTCGACAACAACAATAGCAACAACAACAGCAACAACAACAGCAACAACAACAACAGCACCACCACCAACAACAACAACAACCACAACCATAACCACAACCACAACCACAACCATAACAACCACCACAACAGCAGCAACAACAACAGCAGCAACAACAACACCACCAACACCACCACCACCACCACCAACAACAACATCAACAACACATGGCACTCACATTCGCACATCCGCTCACGCAACACGTACATACCTGCAGATACGAGCAAGCGGACAAGTACTCAAGTGTACTAAGTTGGCAAGTGCTCTCTTGCAGGGGACGTGGACCGACACGCCAAACGGGGCCATTAACAACAATCATTATAATGGGTGTCGCGACGAGCGACATGATATCAGCCAGAACGCGTCAAGGAGAGACGAAGAACACTCAACACGTCCAAACGGTCTACAACGCCCCAGCCCTTCAAGATGGACTGAGAAAGTACCCCATACGAGTCCCCAGCCAGGCTCAATATCGCGGCCTGAAGTTCCCAGGTTGCCCCAATGCTGCGCAATATTGCGCAATGGTGCACCCACGTCTCCGAGATGTTCCCTGGACGCTCCAAAATGGCCCACAAAGGCCCCAAGATGCCTCAGCCTGGGCGGTTGGCTGCTGAGGGCGAGGCCCTTCAGATGTGACTGCATCATGCCCGATCCGCACGCGTGCCCAAGATCGTACTATATGTAGGACAGACGAGGAAGCTTTGGAAAGGGGCATGGAAGTCTGAGAAGGGGGGGGGACAAGGAGCCAAAGGATGTTGGAAGGATGACACCTGCCAGGGAGACGTAAAGGTAGGGTAGGGCCTGGTAGGGCCAGAAAGTGGGGATGGAGGAAAATCGTTCGGGGCGGCTCTGGGGAACATCGGCCTCGAGCTGGGTTCGCTCCCTGACCCGCCTTGGGTAAAAACGGCCCCCTCTATGTGCCCTCGGATGTGGAAGGGCCCGAGGGAGTGGGACGACGAACACCAGAGCGAACGAAACGAAACGAACCCAAACGGCACCCGTGCCCAGGAGCTTGCGCGGGGAGGCGGCGGGAGACTGGAAAAAGAGGAGGGCGAGGAGGATCGGCGGGGCCTCTTGGGCCATTCTGGTGGCACTTTGGGGGCCACCTTGGGGCTCCGAATGACAGCTCGGGGCTCCGTTGGGGCCTGCAGGGGCCGCGCTGAGGGGGCCCAGGGCCGTCTGTGGGCGTTCGGGGGCCGTCTTGGGCACTTTCGGGGCCGTTTCGGGGGCTGCCTCTGGGACCATCTTGGCCCAGCCTGAGGACTCACAAAGTGCACCTTGGACCGTCTTGGAATCCTCCGGGGCCCATCTCGACACCCACTCGGGCTGGAAAAAGAAACGTGTCGAAGGTGTGCGCGAACCATGCCACTTTGCACGATTTGCATCTCACGCGGGCGTTGCGTGCACTACTTCGTGGGCCTTTTTTAGACCGTCTTGGAAGATACGTCGAAGGCGGATACCCTCTTCCTGATGCATGTTTGAAGTAGAACATTGAGTCCCGCAACTGTCCAAAGAGGGTCCGAGGACGACCCAAGACGCCTGCAAAATGACCCAAGAGGCCCCCAAGAGGGTTCTGAGAGGGTGCCCAGACAGGGGAACCAAACGGACATTTCGACCCCTCGACCCCGTTAGGCTCCCAGGAAGCCCCAAGAGGCCCCCAAGAGGCCCCCAAGAGGCTCCAAGAGGGCCCAAGAGGCCCCAGGAAGCCCCAAGAGGCCCGAAGATGTGAGAAGGATGAGCGAGCAAGACAGCCAGTCAGCATATACCCACCCCATGTGGACTGGCGCCTGCACGGGGCACTCGGCCGCAGGACACTCTACAGAGACGCGCGCGCCTTCAGGGTCACGCACAGAGAGGTGAGAGAAGAGGACAACTGCGGGTGTCCCCACCGGCCTGGCCTGAGACATCTTCCACACAAGAGGCTCCCAATAGGCCTCCAAGATGCTCCCAAGGGGCCCCCAAAACTGCCCCCTAAGAGGCCCCCGAGAGCGCTCTGAAGAGACCCCAAACAGAATGCCTGAGGACTCTGACCCACGTCAGCGTCGTCGTCGTCGTCGTTGTCATCGTCATCGTCGTCGTCGTCGTCGTCCTCCCCCTTCAAGGTCAGTCAGCGGCACCGGCCGTAAGGCCTTCACAACAGAACATTGGATGATCACCGCCCCCCAATCATACAACGGAGAAGCACTCTGCGCGGCGCTACTGGTCCTTAAGCAGTTCGAAGGCCTCCTCCAGCGAAGTTTGCGTGTTTTGGTCTGCTTTGACCACCATGTTTGTCAGCTGCTCCTTGTAGGCGTCGTAGATTGAGGACAGGATGAGGTTGTTTAGAAGGTAGACAGTCAATACCTTAGACCATGTTTGCCAAAAAGCTGGCCTTCATCGAAGCTCGATCGCATCGATTGCATGACAGAACCGATCGACAGGAGCACCACCCGTGGAGGAGGTGAGCCGCTCTGAGGGTGGGGGGCGAAGTTGAATTGACCGATACCGCGCGCAGAAACTGGCGCGCGTCAAACAAGCCAGCGCGCGGCGCAATGGGCACACCAAGGCTCAGCGAACACTCAGGTTGAGCGCTGTGGGATCAAGGAACTCTGCCATGGTGCGGCCATGATGTGAAGCAAACGTCCTGCGTTCGCATGCCACATCTGCCGTTCCATGCGGTATCTCGCTGCCCATTCGACGTGCTATCGTCACGGCGTCTGTGTGGTGGCATTGGCTGCACCTGGGCGTACCAAAGCGAAAAAGCCACCGCAACGAAGTGAAAACAGAAAGGTTGCTGCCCCGATCGGAGGGTTCCATCGCTCATGCATGCGCGCTCATCGTAACGATGGAGCAACAGCGAGCGCGCCCGTCAAAAGGCAGCCCCCTTCGGCCGCCCGATACCCTCACTGCCGCTTGCGGGTGCAGCTAACGACTCTAACACTGAAAAGCGTACCAGAACTTAAAAGCAGTACCATGGAAGGGTCAATCTCGCACTCCGCGGGGCCCGTACTCCTAATGTCCTGCTCCCTGCAAACTCGCTTCTGGTCACGAGGGCAAGAACTTGCGAGCGGCACCAACGTCGACAAGTGTTGAAAAGTAACATTCGTCCACCTGAGTAAAACATATACATACAGGGAAACAAACAATAACATAAACATAACAACTCGGAGGTCCGCGCGGATTTCTCAAATCGGCGCTGGACCCCCCTCCTTGGCGCGCGGAGCGCGCCAGGGGCGGCGCCGGAGGCGCCGCCAGGGGGCCCCAGCGCCGATCCGAGAAATCACTGCGGACCTCTGAGTTTTTATGCTTATGTCAGTGTTCGTTTCCCTAACACATCAGGCTCGCGCCACACCCTTCTCACTTCACCAGCCGCGCCAATACGGCTTGCCAGGGCGCGCCTCAGGGACTCTTCCGATTTATCGGCCGCTTGGAGAGTCACTTTCCGTCACCGCGGGAAGCTACCAAAACTTCCACAACAAATGATCGGGCGATGGGGAAAGTTGGCGCCGCCACGTGTGTTTTGCTTAACGTATTTTTCGGCAAAGGCCGAGAACTATCAGGAAACTTGACATTGTTTGAAACGTATGTTTCGGGTGGCTCTGAAAGATGCCAAAACACTGTCAACACAGGAAATCAAATTTTCGGAGGGGTCCAGCCTGGAGCCCGACTGTCCGCCCGAGGATCAAAAACCTTGAAAATGGACATTCCCCCTTCATTCTGGAGCCTTTTTCATTTCATTCTGGAGGCTGTTCGTCTCCTTCAATATGGAAGCCCGACCTTCAGAGTGGAGGTTGTCGATTCTCTGGGTACCCTGCCAACCCCAGCAACACGTCCCTGCGATGCCCGGCAAAGAACTGCAAGCCACGCCCCCGCAATACCATGCCCCCCCCCCACAAAACAACAATGTAATGTCACTGCGGGACACCCCCCCCCTCTAATCCTCCTCCTCATCCTCCTCCTCCTCCTCCTCCTCCTCCTCCTCCTCCTCCTCCTCCTCCCCCTCGTCACCATCATCATCATCATCATCATCATCATCATCATCATCATCATCATCATCATCATCATCATCATCATCAGCAGCATCGGCATCAGCATCAGCATCAGCATCAGCATCAGCATCATCATCATCATCATCATCATCAGCAGCAGCAGCATCAGCATCATCATCATATTGGTCCTCATCCTCGTCTTTGTCGTAGTCGTCTTCGTCGAATATATCTCCTCCTCGTCCTCGTCTCATTCCGCCATTTATCTGGTGGTCGTCCTGCTCCTCCTCCTCCTCCTCCTCCTCCTCCTCCTCCTCCTCCTCTCATCGAGGGGCAACGATAGGGGGGAATAGGCATGGGGGGGATGCATAGACCTGGAATCGGCGATACATCGTCGATAGATCGGCAATAGGCCTCCGATAGCGAATCCGCACCTTCCTGGGCAGCTTGGGGCTATCGGGCCCCCATCGGCGATCCATGGGCGATTGCGTGTCGATGCATCCCCCCCCACTGTGCCTGTCCCCCCCTATCGTTACCCCTGAGATTCCTCGCCACTGCTCCTCCGTCTCCCTTGTCTGAGTTTCGTTTAACCGATCCCCATCCCCAGCGGCGTGGCCTGGGCCCCGCTGGCCGATTTACCCCCCTAGATGGGGATATGGGTCGTTCCCTTCGGGCTTCGAGGGGCGTATCCCCAACTTGGGTGGCAATTTGGTGGGGGTCTCGCGGGGGACGGGGACGGGGATGGGGATCGGTGAAAAGATGCCGACCGCTGCTCCTCCTGTCCCCCTCCTCAGGGCAGCCCGCGTGCCTCGGCGGAACCGTTCTTGGACGGGCCGCGGGGGGGGGGGGGGGGCACGCGCAGCGCAGGGAGCGCGAGCACGCAAGGAAGGCACCTCCTCGGGTGGAGGGCGGCAGCCTCTGGTGGAGCAGGGACCGACCGTCCCGGCATTCCTGTGGCAGAGGGAAACACTTGGTGAACACCCCCCCTGCCCCCCAAACTCGAAGTTGGCACGCGCGGGGGAGACTGCGGTCGAGGTACAACTCATCAGACCCTCCGCCAACCTTGAACACTGGGGGGAGGGGGAGGCGTTGACAGATGAATGTGGCATGAGTATTCGCTATTTTTGTCCGAGGCCTGTATGGGCCTACCACGAAATTTTCTCAGAATGCAGAGATGTTCTAAGAACCAAAACACGATTCTTAGAACATAAACCCGATTTGCTAAAACAGAACAAATTCAGCCAGAACTGTTCTAAGAACATGTCGTGCAAACCACAAAAGGTTCTTAGAACTGTCTGTGGTGGGCCTACAGGCGAGCTGGGACGCTTCGCCACTGCTGTATCCAAGGTGGAGGTCGAGACTTCCAGTTCTCCGGGGGCCTCTTGGGGGGAAAGTTGTAGCAGGCGCTGCGGCTGAGGCGGCGGCGATGTAGCTGGCGAAGAAGAAGAATGCAATCCTCAGGGCGGTGCGAGAGGGGCCGGAGGGGGGGGACCAAGACAATCCGGCCGCTCTAATTTTTTCGATGCGTGGGCCTTAAAAGTCTGGACCACTTCCCTGGGGTCTGCGTTCCGTCCTGAGCCGTTCTATTTGATCGTCCCGAGGCCTGGCAAGGGCCCCTGGAGGCCGAAAAGAGCCCCCCTAACCATGTCGCTCACATTTTTTGGGTGGAGTGTCGGATCTCTGAGCACGCACCGATCCTGGGTCTTCAGGGTCTTCCAACGAGGCAGTTCCCTCAGTGGAGATGAACCCCGTGTATGGGGCCTATGCAGGTGGAGCTTGGACGGAGGGTTTGTGCCAACATCGTTGATGATTCTTGCGTTTACTCTGGTCCCCCTCCTCCACCTCCTCCTCGCCCGCAGCCCAGAGGTTCCACTGCTCAGGCGGCGCGCAGCTGGAGGGCAAGCGCCTTCCGAGCAGGCGGGGCAGGGCCAGAGCGGAGGCCGGGCCTCTCCGTGTTTCGGATCTCTGACCCGCTGGGCCCTTTCATTCTGGTGCGCCCTTCCGTCGTGTTCCCCTCTCGGGGCCTCCTGGGAGAGGCCCCTGGACCACTGCAGGCGGCCAGCGAGGGCCCCTGGAGGACGAGCATGGAGCGCGTCGGATCTCTGGGGGGAATGGTGGAGGAGGAGGAGGAGGAGGAGGAGGAGGAGGAGGAGGAGGAGGAGGCGGAGGAGGAGGAAGAGGAGGAGG